CACGCTTCAGGAACTTAGGTCTTGTTTTAAATATACGAAACAGGAGTAAATAATCATGTAGCCTCGTTCGTAATTTGAAAAATATATCATGATTAAAAGTATCATGGTATTTTTTAAATCATTGTTTTAGGTGGATAAAGCTCATATTAGGTCAAAAGGAGCGAAGGATCTGCAAATGGCATAGTCCATCACTTCAGATGTGCCGTTAGAGAATAATGCATGTTGAGTTGTGACGACGATAAAATCACAGAGCTCTGGGTTAAAAACTGCAACAAGACTTTTTAATGACGAGTTGGGGTTTTTTCGTGTTACATCAGTGTGCGGTGCCGCGTGGCACGACGGATTATGTGACTTTCTGATCACATGACTACAGTCACGCGTGTCACGCCACATCCCTTTCCCTTACAATATCAACAATGCCAACAACATCAACAACAACAAAATAATAGAATAGGATAGAGGCGAGGTCAATTCAATGTTCAAGTGTTCAGCATAGGTCATAATCCTCGAGCCAGGTTGGGATACGTCTGGTTCGCCCGGAGCGTCTAGGTGGGAGAGCTGAGGCTAATTCTGTGCTGTCTGGGACAGAGTGTGCTGGGGACAATGTGTCATTCTCTTGAGTCCCTAGAGCCAATGGGATTTGGCACTGGTCTGGTACAGGCTCTGGCAAAACAGGTGATCTGCTCTCATTCTCAGTCTGATGTGGTGACCTGCTCTCATTCTCAGTCTGGTGCGGCTCTTCATTGTTGCTGTTCGGTACTGGTGACAGCTCCATGGTGGAGCGAGGCTGGCAGCGGTTTCTGCGGAAGCACCGTCCATCTACATGAACTTCATATGAGCGTCAACCAAGAATACGTGAGCAACGACCTAGGCTCCATTTCTGTTCCCTAGGCAGTTTCATTCGGATCGCCTCTCCCACCTTCAAGGGAATGAGGTTCTTTGTGCCCGTGTTTTACTGCTTGCACTGTAGTCTTTTCCTAGCTGCTAGACTTCTCGCTGTGGTCTTTAGGTCACTGTTTGGCTAGAGTAACTTTTCAGCAGTTGGCAGCAAGGTGCGCGTGCGCCGGCCCAACAGTCTTTGAACTGGTGAGGTGCTGAATCCCTCACTTGGGGTGTTGCGCTAAGGGAGGATCGCCAACAATGGGTCTCGTTTGTCCTCCGCCTTCAAGAGCAGTCCTTTGCAGGTCTTCACAGCATTTTCCACTTTTCCATTCGCTTGTGGATATCTTGGACTTGAAGTTCGATGCTCGAACTGCCAATCTGTAGAGAAATTCTTGAATTCCTGATTATCAAATTCAGGACCATTATCACTGATCAGCACTTCAGTAATGCCAGGTCGGGAAAACTGCACCTTAAATTGGCTAATTACGGCTTGTGCTGTCTTCCTATG